AACCAGCCAACCAGCCAACCAGCCAACCAGCCAACCAGCCAACCAGCCAACCAGCCGAATATATGTACTCATACCGTCTTCATCAACCTCCTCAATGATTTTCTTCAGTTCAGCCTCGGAAGGGTTGACGCCTAGTGTTCTCATCACTGTAGCCAACTCTTTAATTGTAACTGTGCCATCACCATCCTTATCGAAGACTGTAAAAGCTTCTTTGTACTCTAGTGAAAAAGGATTTTATCATTTGGACCGTCAGTGTAGATCCGATTTTAAAAATTATTTTGGATGAAAGGCTAACAAAAATCCAAATGAAATCACACTTTTTCTTAATAAAGGAATTTGTGCAATTTTTTTTATTTTTTTATTTTTTATTTTTTATTTTCTATGGCTAGAGCCTAACTAGAAAACTTCCCAGTTTATTTAATCTACGGACACACGGTGCAGCATTGCGCGCAATGTTGCATACAATTGATGTTGCGAGGCATGACACACGACGCAATTTGTTGCACGCAACGTTGCTGAAATAGAAAACTATCCTACTCGAGTAACATTGCCTGTAAAGTTTAGGAAAATTATAATAATTACTTTGTAATGAGTAAATGTAATAATAATTCATTTTGTAAATATATCATTAATTGTAAATTATTATGCGAAAATAAATTGAGTTGAGTTGCTTTGAGCTTTGCATCAGGGATAATTTAGTTCAGAACTGGACACACATTATTCCAGTTTAAAGATTGGATTCAATTTTCATAAGAATGTTAAAAAGTCAAATAATTCTTACTTAATTTTTGGAAATTGAGTATGAATTGTTTTAATTTCAATTACTGGAATAACCCTTAAAGGTCTAACAATCACTGGTTTAAGTTTTTCCCCGATATTCGGATGGGAGGTATTGTATTTTAACGAATTTTCATAGGAGTCTGTGACGTCAAACACTCAACACTAAACATCGCTTCGCACATTTCTTTGTAAATAACTTCATGTTTTACTTTATTTCTATTAAGCCCAAAGGTCCGCTTAAGGACGTAGCGTACATAACTTGTGGTTAGAATCATTTTAGGGTATCTTTTCTTCAATACTGAGTATAAAACTAGAAGATATTTTGGTTACAAAACAAATAAATGTATGGAGCGATGTTTAGWGTTGAGTGTATGACGTCGCAGACTCCTATAAAAATTCGTTAAAATATAATACTTCCCATCCGAATATCAGGAAAAAACTTTAACCAGTAATTATTAGACCTTTAAGGGTTATTCCAGTAAAGTTTTAGCTTAATTAAAATTTTGATGATTTTCGTGAAAATAGAATGAAAATGCCATCCACAATCAGAGTCTTAAATTCTGAAGTATTCTAGCTAGTTTGTTGAACAACAGTAACTAAGTGTAGTCAAAACATTGAATTGTTTCGCAGTCTGTTTCCTGGAACAGTACAATACCGAAAACACTGCTATATATAGAAAAGGACTTGTCAGTGTGTGTACCCTATCCGTTCTTCATATCCTGCTTCAATAAGTCACAGTATTAATTGCTTTTAAAAAATCGTTCTTGCCTTATAAAGGCAGTAGCTAAAAAACAGTGGCCCGTGTTACTGAAAATTTAAAAGCTGGTTTTGTGGAGGGAGAAAAACCTGAGAACTAGCCGAAAAAAAATMCTCGATCAAAAGAGGGAAGTTTTTTGTGGCGTGTGAAATTACAGCTGCAAAAAGGATTGTTCGGATTAATTCTTAGAATGGATGAAGGTTATAAAAAGAAACCCAGGTGAGCAAATTCAAAACATATATACTCAAGCTGAACAACAACAAAATTCAATAAAATGCAATAAGTTTTTTTCAATAATTCATTTCATAAAATTCAATAAGTTTTTGGCGAGATAATAATCAATAATAAT